GTTTTATTGCAGATGCTGGAGCCTGTGATTGAGTGGCCCATGGAGAACAGGACTGAGGATACAGAAGGACTAAAAGTGGTCTTGCAAGCCCTACCCTTCCCACCAGGGAGGCCCAGTGGATTTTTGGGAATGATTTGCCATTTCTGTGGTCCTCGACGATGCCTGCAGCATGGAGGGAAGGTCAGGAGACCGGTGTTCCTGGTGAAGATGTGCAGCTTGATGCAGAGGATGAGGAGCCATTGCGTGTTTCGGGAGGATTTTCTGAAACCCAAAAGGAGAGATGCACATTGCAGCATTGGAGAAAGGTCCGCTTTGTTTTTTAATAATAAAGGGTGACATGCAAGCTTTATTAACAAGACACTTAGGGGAAAAAAAGAGGCTCAAGGGATAACCCTGAAAAAGTGGCGCTAAATGTGTCATTTTTATGAAGCTGATTTTGTGAAGGGTCCCTACATGCTTTGGCAGGAGGTTGCAGCAGGTTTACAATAATTTGTAGAAAGATAGAAATGTTTTCACCCTGAAGTGAGAAGAAGGGCAAAGAAACCCGCGTTGAGATGGTTTAAGAGTCGTCTTCAGAGGCGGAGGCTGGTGGAGGGACAGATACCTGTCACTTCGGGTCGGGAGAGATGGGTCCAGTTTCAAACAACCATGGACTTTGCTGGGGGGCTGATGTGTTGACCAAGGAGCCAAACCCCCCATTCAAGAGTCTGGATCTGGACACAGCGGGGAAAGCTGGATTTTCACTTCCACAGAGTTTGGTTTGAAAAAAAAACACATTTGAAAGAGCTGAAAAGAGGGAAGAGTGACAAAGAGCCAGATCCTGGGTATCGGCCCCGAGGCGGGCAGGCCGGCAAGGACATGGCTGCACTGATCTGAGCCTCCTGGCACAGCCCAGGACATGTCACCCCAACCCTAGTGACCGACCCCAGCCAGCATCCTCTATTTCTCCATCAGTCCATAGCACTAGTCATGCCCAGAGTGGCTGCAGCCCACTGACCTTTCTGCTGGCACTTGCATTAATTCCCCTTAAACTGCCTTTGGATCCTCTGGGGTTTATTTCTGTTCCTAAGGCAGAGAGTGAACAGTTGTTAGAGCAGCGCCCTGTTGCTAACGGACCTTTTGCTAACGGGGAAGTCAACCCCCCGATGTCCAGGTCAAGAAGAGTTGTACTGACATTTGTACATCTTTTTTTTTTTTAATGTAATGCAATTGGCAGTCCTCAACCGAAAGCAACCACTGGGGGGGAAAAAAAGTTTAAAATTTCCCTGCTGATTGCTCGATTCGGAGTGTGTACGTTGTTATATTTATATTTGTGTTGCTAAGGCAGCAGTTAAAAGCATTTTTCAAATTAGGCACTGGTAAGCTGTGTGCAGAGCCAGGGCTCTCTCTTTGATGGCATTGACACCAACATGCCTGCATCTGGAAAGCAAATCCCAAGGCCGGAGGACAGCAGAGTTTCTCTCCTCCAAGAACAATGCAGGCTGAGACAACAGACTTTATGCTAGGTATTATTCGGTGCTTCCTGATGTCTTGAATGTATTGTTTATTCATAGTGCAGAGGCTGAAGGGCTAGTCAGATCCTGACAAGCGTGAGCATCCTTTATTTATGTTATGATGAACAGGAGATAAGAATTGGCAGTGCTGTTCAGGAGGTCCTTGCCATACCTGGCTCTGGACATGGAAGGGCGAGGCTGGGCTTGAGGCTGGGCTCCCCTTTGATTTCTACAGGAGTGATGCTGATCAGCGGAAAAGTTATGGCTTGTTTCCCTCTGCCAAAATAATGAAGAAGATGAGGGCTGGCCTCTTGATGATGCACTTTATGAAGAGCACACTTTCATTGGCGCCAGTCACACTTAGCTTTTCCTTCTTTTTTGTGCTTTGACTTTGTTCTTTGGGCCTCATTAAGAGAGGGAGGGGATCCTTTCCCAATTACAATGTTGACATGCTGGAGACACTCTCCTTCCCTGTCTTTTTGCCTCTGTAAGTGATTGCACTCCGCAGGATGAACTAGAATTAAATCAAGTGAACTTCGATTGAATAATGCAAGCTATAAAGCAGCCCTTCTCCATGAAAAATCTCATTTCTTTTTTATTTTTCTGTTTTGATCCCCTAGCCTGCATGGAGATAACCTTGACGAATAATCCCATGGCTGAGGAGAGGCCTCATAAACTGCTGGGCTGCCTCGTGCCCCAGTGGGAGCATGCTGGTGAGGGCAGGGCAGGCAGCCCACCCTCGTGCTGGTGCAGGCAGAGCAGGCAGCTCTCGCCAAGGGTGCAAACCCCCAGCCCAGGGAAGCAGATTTTCCACCCTTGTTTTGTCCAAAATCTGGAAGTAATCATCATAGTTGTGCTGCTTTTGGTGGCACAGGGGATTCAAAGCCTGGGAATGGATATTGTGACTGACCCCACGGGAACCCGCTCGCTTGCATGTGGACTAGTGACGTGGCACAGAGCATCCCGAGCAGGGGCGACGTGTGGGCTGGGGAGCCTGCATGGGAAGGATGTTATTCCAGTCCATCAAATGTAAATCATGAGGAATTTGCTCATCAGTGAATGATTTCAGTTCAGCCAGGATTTGGTCTTCTTTTCTGGTCAGAAATCAATAGCAAAGCTCCTATTGATATTGGTCAGAGGGGGATTTAGCACAAGGTCTGTATCTGGGCTGCGGCAGGAGACGCGATGGCAGCACATGTGGCATTTCCTGAGCCAGCGGTGGGGTTTTGGTGGCACCAGCATTCGGTGTGGATGGCCCTGGGTATCCCTTGGCCCCTGAAGCCTGGGCCATGCGGTGTCAGTGCTTTGAGCATTTTAAAGCTCTGTGATGTACCTATATATATTGAAACTTGCTCTCTGGCCCCCACCCACCTGTTTCTCTCCTGGTTTTCCCAGGGCTGAGATGCACGCACATAGGGATGAAGCTGCTGGGCAGAGCAGCAGGGCTGGGGATGCGGGGATGAAACCAGCTGAGGCTCTGGCCTTGCTGGAGCCATTCTCATGTCTGCCAGTGCAGGGTGGTGGAGAGGACTCCCCACTGAGCAGGGATTGCTCCAAAACTGTCTCTGATCTCTCCTGCCCTCATTCTCTTGGCTACCCTCAGAACCCATTTGTGGGGCTGCGCTCTCCTGTGGGGCGACATGCTGTGGGGTGGCATCCCTCCCTCTGGGATGGCAGCGCCAGGATTGATGGATAAACACAGGATCAGGCATTTTCTGTGTCATTTACAGTCTTGAGTGTTGTGTATTTTAAAAATACATGTGTCCGTTCGCTCCCAAGCTCTAACCATCAAAGTCGTCCTGTAGGACTGAGGATGCAGGAACTGCAGGGACCAGTAGTTTGTGCAGTAAATCTCCTGCGTGACTCTCCAGCAGTAATTACTATGTGAAAGTAATAACCGAGCTGTGCTGAGTGCTAGGCTAACTCCCCCAGCTCGCAGCTCCTTGCATGTTTCTCTCTGGGAGGTTCCTGTTTGGTAAATTAGATATTGTGCTGTATTTCAGAAAAGGTCACACGTAACCAGCGCTGCCTTTGCTTTATTATCTTGGCAGAGCAGTGTAACCTCTGCCGGGGTACGATTGGATTTCACGTTTGGCTCTGCTGCAGCGGCCCCACTCCCTGCATCCTGCCATTGTGATTACGTTAGCAGCAGACTCTGCTTTCCTTTATTTATTGAGACATTAAAGATGCATGCATTTATTTTTACCATGTTCATAATTGCCATAAAAAACAGGCCATAGTATCCCAGAGCGGCTCTTTGGGAAGGAGAGCGGCCGGGGGGCCGGGGTGAGGCGGAGCGGCGGCAGAGAGGAGGCAGGACGGGGCTGCTGGGGCAAGTGGCTGTCCCTGCTGCTGTCCTGGGATGATGCTACAGTCAGCCCAGAAGAAGGGGAGCAGAGCAAAGTCTGCCCCTTCTGCTGCCCAGGGTGCCTGACAGGAGCAAGGAGCATCCCCCGGGCCAGGGGTGATGCTGGTGGGAGCCCAGGTGAGTTCCCTGTAGATCTGGGGGGACTTTGGGTGGATGAACAGGTGGAGTGGGGTGCTTGACTCGTACAAAGAGACCTGCGTCCTCGTGGGATCCTGGCCAGGCCATGCGGATCCCACCACATCCCAGCACATGGCCTCCGCTGTGACTCAACCGTGTGTCTCCCACCACATCCCACCATGCAGCTGCCACTGCATCCCCCTGCACAGCTCCCACCGCATCCCACCATGCATCTCCCACCATGTCCTACCACCTCCCACCCCACGGCTCCCACCATGGACTCCTGAGTGGGAAGACCCTGCTCTCTTCACTACCTTCTGTTTGCTTTTTTGGATTCCTTACCTGCTGCCAGCACCAGAAATCCAGGGCTATGTAATCTGAGATTAAAAGTCGGTGTTTCAAGTGCAGAGCGAGTTAGTGGGCTTTGCTTGCAAGTGACAAATCCATTGGCTTTTCTCCCCTGCTTTCACTCCTGTCCAACTTTTAAGCATGTCACCCATTGTTTGCTTTTTTATTAATAACAGAGCCCACTGTCTCTGCAAATGAAATGATGTAAAACAAAGAAAAGTTCCTGCATTAAATTCTCCAGCAGGGGATTACCTTGCTGGCATTTACATATCTATGCAATAAATATTTTAACATGTTAATTATACACTAATAAGAAAAATACCTTTTGAACTTTCAGTCAAATTGACACACAGAGAACCGAGTCCATCAGGGAATTAGAAGCAATTAGTTTTGTAACAGAGCGTAGTCACATTGTTTCTTCTCTGCAAATTGTTCTGTGGTCACCAGCCAGCCTTTTTTTTTTTTTTTTTTTCTTGTGAAAGCTGGTGGAAAGACCAACAGGGTTTTCTGCACCTGTCTCGGTCCTCCTCGCTGGGGTCTGACCCATGCTGGGATGCTCCTTCCCTCCCGTGGGGTTTGCTGCTGGCTTTTCTCCTGGCCCAGAAAACCTGGCTGTTCTCAGTCATGGGGAAATCAGATTTGTAACCATCTACCTTTTCTTTTCCTCCTTCCAGACTGAAAACTACTCCTTTGATTCCAACTACGTGAACAGCAGAGCTCATTTAATAAAAAGGTACGTAGGCTCGCTTGAAAGCACTTGGGTTTGCCCAGCCAAATCCTGATTATTTAATGTTCTTCCTTACTGTGTTATATACTACTTGCTTTTTTTAATATGCAAAACGTTTCAAGAGTAATCATTTGATTTTAAAAACAGTATTTACTTCCTATTAAGTCCCATTGCTCTTGGTTTGCAATAAAGGCAAGTCTTTTTCTCTTCTCTTTGGCTCCTTCGCACCAGGAAGTTGCAGTGAGTTAGGTGGAGTGCTGTTACCCTGACAACTTTCAAATTCATAGAGTTTCTTCTATTTGAATGCACAGGAATAAAATGATAGATTTGGATGGGGAGATCTCCCTGCCATGTGAGGCAGGGGAAAAGAAAAAAAAAAATAATTGTTTGGCGGCAAGTAATTGGGTTGGATACATGCTCGCTGTTTTAGTTTGAATACAGAGGCAAAACAGCACTTTGCTAGGCTTTTTTCTTCCATGGGTAAAAAGGAAATCATCAGTTCAGTTACAAGCTGGCAATTACCCTTGGGGGAATTTAACCCTTTGGTTAAAATACTGGTATCCTCAGAGCTTAGCAGTAGCGAGGAAATGTCTTGGGGAGGTTAACAGCAGGGTTATCCAGTTGAACCCCACTGGACTATGTGAAACTAGAGGTGAGCATCCCCCCGTGGGGCAGGTGGCCAGGCTTGCCTCTGCCTCCTCGGCTGTTTCCGAGGCAGAGAAAGGCACTGACACAGCACAATCAATACTCATCAGGAGGCTGCCGCGCGTAGGGCTGGAGGGCCGTCTCCCCGCGCAGGATGTGGGCGCAGGAGGTGGCCGGCAGCTCTTTGCCTGCCTCCCCCCTTCTCCCCAGGGACCAGCCGAGGTGTGTGGCCGTGCCCGTGCCCGTGCCCGTGCCCAGCGGGGTCACGCCCAGGGGCTCTGCAGAAGCCATCGCACTAGCAAGGGTGTAACGGGGAGCAGGAGCCGGCCCCAAACTGTTGAGATCAGATCTGAGCAGTAAAAATATCCAATTATCTGCCTGGCTGAGATCCCATTTGTTTACATCTTAAAAATATAAGGAGTAAGAGAGCTACGAGCACATTGTTTAAGCAGCTCGGGTTCAGCTAGCGGAGGGCAGGTGTATTTGCCAGCATGGCTCATGATGTTTAATGATGCTAATGCGATTGCGAGAGAGATGGCTTGCCCACACCACGCTGCTCCTCGCCAGAGTGTCTTCAGGCATACTGAAAAAAACCCAAATCTATTAATCTTTCCTCGTTCACACCTAAGATAAAGGCAAGCAGCGCTCCCGCCTGCCGCAGCAGGGTTTACTCTGAGGCTGTATTGTTTGGGAAATGCTGCTGCTGCTGATTCCCCAAGACCTGCCCATCCTTTAGAGAAGTGTCAGCCGCGGAAACATGTCGTGTGGCTGCTGCATTACGGTCTGGTTCACTGCAGGGAAGATAAATGCGTTGTAACACAGGTTGCCTGCACGTTATGAACAGCAGCTCCGTGTAGGACAGCGTTTCCCCTCGCTTTCTACCTTTGTCTTGTATCTTAAGTACAACGGGTACTGGGAACGCTGTGCAGACATCTAAGAACAAAAAAAAATATTTTCTGTAACACACTGTGGCATCATTTTCATCCTTTGCCTTTATGAAGATGTTGTAACTCTTCTATCTTTGGTGAGTGAATCTCCTCAAATCCAGCACTTTAATTAATCTATTTGTACTTTTCCTGTGTTGTCTGCCTGCCTCTCTCGCTCATCTACACACACACACAAATGAATTGTAGATTTGTAGTGCTTTCTTAACTTAAAATTCTTTGATGTCGCCTGGAATCAAAGTCAGTGGCTTCAACAGGGACATCTTTATTTAAAAGGTAATGTTTGAAGGTTTACCAATTTATATGTATTTCAGAGCTCCCCCCTTGTGTGCTTTTGCAAAGCATCAGATGGTAGGTGGTCTGCTTGGTTTCCGTGGAGACGCAAAAGGGCTTTTCAAAGTAATGAAAATCTCCAGCTCTTTGGGGCTTTGAAGCACAGGCCACATCTTCCACCAACTCATCCACCATCATTGCACCAAATCATCCAGCGAGAAAGTTTGGGGCCGTGGGTGCAGGTGGATCCCCACTGATGGGTGCAGGTGGGCGCAGGGATGCCCCGATGGCTGTGTCACCTCAAGGTGTCCCTGTGGTTCACTGCAGCTGGGTGTCCTGGGCCATCACCCCTTGTAGGGCAGCAGGGAGCAGCAGAAGGATCCCAAATGCAGCCAGAAATGAAACTCGTCCATTCTCTTGGCCTAGGAGCTGGGTACTGGTGGGGTGATGGAGCTGCTCAGCCCTTGGGGAAAATTTGGGAGCAGCTCCACCCCCAGGTCCCCCCAGCAGTGGCTGCACTTGCAGGGGGTGTCAAGGAGTTGGACTGTGCATCAGATCTCCTTAAAGATGCCTGAGATTGGACCCAGAATCACGGGGTTATTTTTGAAAATAAGAATGGTGTTGTCATCGTGAAAAGAAATTCCCATTTCCAGGAAGACTTTTGTTTTCAAACTTTAAGTGATTAGGATTTGGCCTAAAAAGTTAGGGTTTAGATCCTGTGTAACTTCAATATGGGCTAATACGATGTCAGGAAGCCTAGTTATAGAAACAGCTCATTTAAGCTATACTCTTAAAATTGTATTTTCAAATCCTGCTTCACTCTCAGCTTCCACAATACCTACACCAGCCTGACCCCAAGGGTCACACTATACCCATGGCCAGAAGCAGCCTGCGAGGTGGTGCAGGCTGGATGCTGTTTTGGGGTGCAGAGGTGCTGAGCAGGGGGTGCCCCCCCTACCCCTGCAGCCCCTATCCCAGCCATCTGTGGTGAGGGAGCAGTCCCAGCCCTGGCACTGGGTGCTGGAGATGGCTGGGGACATCCCCGTCCCTGCGGGGCACGAGGCTGAGCGGTGGCAGTTTTGTCCCCACTGCATGTCTCACTGCAATGCCGCAGGGTGCTGGTGGCCACCTTGTCTCCTTCATTAAATCATGGCTGTGTCTCCCCTAGCAGCTCCACGTTCAAGGACTTGGAGGGGAACAGTCTAAAGGACAGCGGCCACGAGGAGAGCGACCAGACGGACAGCGAGCACGACGTGCAGCGGGGCCTCTACTGCGACACGGCCGTCAATGACGTGCTGAACACCAGCGTCCCCTCCATGGGGTCCCAAGGCCCTGAGCAAGGTGAGCCACCACCGTGTGCCCTGGGGGCTGCTCATCACCCCCCCTGTCCCCCACAGGCCCCATCTGGTGGTTCCGGTGCGGCCTCGGTGGGTGCACAATAAGGATGCTTAGCGCTCATTGGGGATAACACTGTACATCGTCACAGTGCTGGGTAGATAGAAATTAATCTTCACGCCACGCCTGTCAGGTAAGCAAGCAGTTAGGATTATCCTCTATTTCACAAGTGGAAAACCCAAGGCGCTGAGCAGCTGCCTGACAGCAAGCGAGCGGTGGAGTTGGGATTAGGACAGGAGTTACCGGCGCCGTGCCCAGGGCTGGTCCCTGCAGGCGCTGCTCTCCGAGGCTCAGCCGGTGAGCCCTTCTCCGCGCATGCTGCTCCCCGTCTCTGGAGCTCGTGCGCAGGCGCCATCCAAGCAACTTTTCCAAAAGGTCATCAGAGCGTGTAGGCAATTAGTCAGGCATCCCACGAGGGATTAGCTCAGGCCAGTGGGCGAGAGTCTGTATTTTTGCCCCAAATAGGCGGTGGGGTTTCAGCTCTTACACATCCCCGCGTGCAGGGATGAAGTCCTGCTCCGAAACCAGACCGATATTAGCTAGAGGAAAGAAGTCAGAGGAGTTCAGCTGAGCCCAAGCCGTCATTTGTACTTGGGCATGAATGTCGCTTTTAATGTCTGACGGATGCAAACATCCTATGCAAACATCCTGTCTTTTTCAATTAAGAAGCCTGAATGCAGTTTGGTGCTCCAGCGCAGGAGAGCCTCGGGGCGCTTGGCTATATCTTGAGATAAGCTGTAGCTGAGGCTCAACTGGAAGCCCCACTGCTAAAAGACTTAAGGATATGAAAACAAAATGCTGTGATTATGAACTGGTCTTCAGCTGTTTAATTCAATTCATGGTAAACATCATTAAAAGCCTTTGTTTTGCTGTCATAAAAGAGTCAAACGGGGGAGAGAGAGTTCTTGCCATCTGCGCCGCCGAATGGTTTTTTTTTATTCTGGAGAGAAGCTGATCGCTGTATTAATTCTCGATAGAGTCTGTTAAATGGCCGTAGTTAACCCTGTAAGACTCCACGAGGAGGGGAATGTGGAGGTCACCTACCCATTCCACGCTGCCAGCCATGCTAATTGGAGAGGGATGGCATCCGCAGCGATAATGTATTTCCAGACAACCCTACTGTGGCCAAAGATGAAAAAAATTAAACATTTATATAACTGTACAGTGGCAGTTTAATTCTCCGCGGACCGGCACCGTGTCAGAGAATGCAGGCTGATAGCTATCATTTATTATTCTTCTATTACAAAGAAATGCTTTTTCATTTCGATCAGGAGAGGGTTTCCTAAGATGCGTTTGCAGTAAGGGATGACTGTAGGAACAAAAATGTTCATAATTGATTCCTGTCCCATTGAATGGTCTGAGCAACATCTGTTAATTTTTTGTCACATTTCTTCGTCAAAAAAACCAATCTCAATGGACTGCAGATAGGGTTTTACAGAGATTACATTTCTGATAAGTCTGTGTGCTGGCTCTGTTGTGCACCAGATAGCAATACAAATAAGTTAAAGACGATGAGTTGGAGGCAGAGCTTGTCGGAGGAGTCAGATGGAAATAAATACGGTCCAATCCATTGTAACGTGAACTCCTAATTGCATGTAAAATACCCCTCAAAAATCAGGAATATTTCCAGAAGGCAACTTCGAAAGGCAACCTGTGTGTCTGGTTCCCAGTCCTGTGATGGCCAGGGGGTTGGCACACTTGGATTTGGTTTATTTTTGGGAGGAAACCGGCATGCCAGTGCTGCATTGGCATCCAGCTGGGCCTACAGGCAGGCGGGCAGGCAGGTGTGTGGAGGGGGCCAGCTTTCCTGTCCTGTGGGACCCCCACTGCCTCATGCGGAGGAGCAGGGGGAACTTGCCTGTGAGGTTATCAGGATGTTCGTGGAGCAATGAGAGGAGCAGCGCAGGCTGGGAGGTTAGCAGTTACTGTTACAGAAGCTTAAAAAAAAAGGTTAAAGAGAATACTTTCTGGGCTGATTTGTCGAGCAGGGACTGCAGAAAATAATCAGGAAAATCAAGATGCTGAGATGATGGTGATAACAGCAGTTCCAGCGTGATTAAAGCGATGGCTTTGGCATGGTAATTTTTACCCAATTTCAGGTCAGACAGGGCGGGGAGGAAACACAAGTTCAATGCCAAGGACGTGCAGGACCTGTGGGCTGCCCACGACCCTGAGCAGCCTGGCTGCTCATGTTCCTTTGCTCTCCATCCCTGCCTGAACTGCATCTCATGCAACCCCAGAGAGATGTGTTGGGGGAGTCATCAGAGGTTGCTCGTCGATGCTAATGATCTGCCTGGGAGCCCCATGAGCGGCCCCCATGGCCAGGCTCTGATGGGCTTGGACCTCAGCTTGCACCACCACAAGTCCTTCAGACTCTCAGATTTCATCTAGATGATTCAGGAGTCTTTATCTGCTTGGTGGGTAATCCTGGATCTGCTAAGGCAAGACACTGGTTGGCAGAAATCCTTACAGCTTGGGGGTAGGGGCCAATCCCTCTGTGGTGGCACTGGAGGGTTAGGGTGGACCTGTCTGGCCTGCCTTTGCCTACTGAGGTGCTGGATGTAAAGAGGTAGGCATGGGGTAGGCATGGATGGGTCCAAGCTTCTTTAGTGTTCTTAAACCGGTGTGTGAGCCTGGCACTGGTGGTGAGTACACGGCCGTGGGAGCCCCAGGGACCTGCCGTAGATGCTCAGATAGCCTCTGGACTCTCTACCCCTTCACTGCCCTGGTGCCACTCTTGGGTGGGAGTGAAACCACATGTCCTGCTGGCAGAAGCCTTTTCTCTTGCTTTGGAAATGACCTAGATTTCCAGGAAAATGGCAAACCATAGTGTGGAGGGTGTTGAATTTTAGTGGTGAGCTTTAGCCGGAAGCTCAGCCGCATTGCTTATTTTTGAAGTAGGACTTCTGCCCAGTCCCTCTTTCCCTCAGGATCTTAATTATTGATTATAAATTAATCACTTGAAAAGATGGCTTTAATTGCTCTAATATGTACCCAATTTGGAGTTCATTATCACCCAGAATTGTTTTCCTTCCCCTGCTAATTGATACCAAGTGGGATGCTGAAGAAGGCGGGCACAGCATGGCTCCTCCTTCCACAATTGCCTCGCTGCCATTTAATTGTTTGTTTATTTGTGGAGGTGTTAAGCGTTGCTAGAAGTTTATATGCACTCCTTTCCTAATGGCATCCTCAGCTGAACTTCCAAACAGATTTTGTCTGAGAAAGGGAGGTTTTCAAGCGGCTGTTGGAGCTCAGCAATGTTTTGGGTTGGCTGGAGAAGTCTGCTGGAGGATGGTGGTAAATCCTGGGGTACCCCTTCGTATCTTGGCCTATTCCCTGCAATACGGGGTGCATTTTCTCCACGTCCTGGTGTAACCTTGACTCAAAATTCAGCAGTGGAAGAAACCCTGATTTCCAGCAAGGAGGTGAAGTGCGGTTGGTGTGGGGAAGGAGACCCACCACCAGCATCGCCTCCGCGGACAATGGTGGGTAATGCCGGCAGCTGTGGGAGCTTTGCTGTGGGGTTTGAAGCTCATGACACTCCTTCCTCCCAGCAGTGTGGGGAAATCTCAGCATGAAATGTTTTCCAACACTGCAGAGCGTGGCAGTGCTTTTCCTGGGAAATGGCAGCGCAGACCAGATGTTTCACAAAGTAATTGAAAATTCCATTTTATCAGAAAGCATTTGCTGTCAAAAAGTTTTATCTTTACTTCAACAAAGAGGTTGATTAGATCCCTCAGGACCTGAATTAGCATCTTTGAGGCTAGATAGTCTGTTTTGTGATTCAGGTAGTTATTCCTCCCTTGGTTTTGCTCATTCTGGGACTTAGGGTTTTTTTAAATCCCTTTGCCCTCTTTCAAATGTAGTGTTTGTGCAGGTTTGGTGTGTTTTCTCTGTGTGAAAGTATATGGGCACCTAGATCTGCTTAAATGTTTTCTGCTACCTTTTTCACCTTGCCTTGAGCCAGAGCCATACTTGTACTCTGTAAGTCATAGGAGCACTTGCCAGCATAGAAATCAGAAAGGAACTATTTCAAATATGTGTTTTTAAGGTTAGAAGCAACAGATTTCAAACTTATCTTAATTCCCAGTGCTGGCCACTGTTTTTGCCATCAGTTGCAGAAGGAAAATCATTGGTGCAATGAAGCAGTGACTTGCTGTTTAAGATATAAATAGAATCCAAAAGAAAATACAAAATTAATAAACACACACAAATCATAAAAAAGCCTGTGTTAGAAATAGTCACCACAGCTATAAAATAGTGAAAAAGCTTTAAAATCAAAGTGAGAGGGTTTTTAAGCAATGTCAGTAATGTGTCTCTACAGAGAATTGCTGCTAAAAGCATCACTTCCATTTTTCTGGTGCCAGATCAGCAGTAAAGGTTGGCGTGAAATGTCATCTGGAAAGACCTGATCCTGCATACATTTCCACATTTGAGTAACTTTGCTCACATAGGTGGTTTAATTGTTTCTGAGTCTCATAAACTCCATCAAGATGAAGGGTTCTCTGAATAGAAATGGGTTATATTTTAAATGCTTACGTTAAGTCTTCTTCATACTATCACGCAGCATAGGAATAGGCTTGGATGTGAAGGAGCACATGATATTCACTGAAACTTTTCTTGCTGGTTGCATCCCAAATTATTCAGATACATTGTCATTTAGGGGATCAGGTTTTATCTAGAATATTCCAATTGGTTCTTATGCTCATCTCCATAGTATCTGTGTGCATTTCAGTCATGAATTGAGAACATGACTAATGGTATTAACAGGAGGCAAACACAGGTATTAGAAACTGTTGATTTTTTAAGCTGATTTCCAGCAGTCGTTCCACCTGCAACTCCCTTTTACTCTGCAGAAAAGCCTTTCTTTAGAGCTGTATGTACATGAAGACCTAAGTGACATATTCTAGGGCTTTGGAAGCTGGAAATACAACTGCATTTCTCTG